GTTTTTTCTTAAATATTAAACAAATATTAAATCTGAACTTTTGAAAGCTGCTAAAAATGTGAATAAACAGATGTATAGCCTAGAGCAGCGTTCGACCTCTGATCTGATTTTTAGCTTATGGATGAAATTAAATTAATTCATGGCAATCACTGAAAAAATCAGGGATATGAGGCAAAATGCTAGTATACTGTTTAACCTGACATACCTGATCTGCAGCTGTTTGGAAAAAAAAATGACATACTTTAGAGATCTGTCTTGGTTGCCACCATAATCATGATTTCAAAATAAAAAATTAATTGCTTTTTTGTTATATTAAGCAAGATATTTGACATAAGGTTTTCCTTTGTTTTTTGTAACTAAGAGGTCTATCTTTTATTCTCTCTCATACACACACACACATATATTTGTAATATCTGTATATGCATATTTTTCCTTGCTCAAGCAATAAATGTTAGTCAAGAATTTTTCTTTGACATCAGAGGTTGTCATTCAAGCTGTAGGTAGTTTAAGGTTTTTTCTGATACCTATTAAGGTACTTGTTTCAATGCACTAAGAATTCACATTTGAATAATTCCAAAACCAACTAATTATTGTGGTAACCCAGTTCTTAGCCCCTGTAATGAATTTGGCAAATGGCAACGATGTAGTCTATTCTTAGTCCTAAAATGCACTGAAGATTGAGAATACCAAATGTTAAATAAAGGGCTTTGAAAATCAATTGATTACTCCACAGTAAGTAAAAGAGTTAAAGTTATTAAAAGTCATCTTTAGCACTTTGCATTTTTCCCTGTTCTGCAAGTAAGAATCATAGGGAACAACCCACTTGCTGTTCCCCAGAATGCCAGATACAAATTACCAGATAAGATGTACTACTGGTTCAACACAGTGCCTTTAATTATTATTTTATTGTTTACTGTGAAATACACGGGTCAAAGAATACACAAAAATGTGTATGTTCAGTTTAAAGAACAATAATAAATTGGGCATTGTGTTACCACCACCCAGGCCAAGAAATAGAACATTATTATACTCTGGAGACCCACCGTTAAGGTAATATTTTTGTTATTGGTATTCATACTTTAGGATCCTTCTGTGCCACTGTTAACATCCTGAACATAGTCTCAGAGAAGGAGTAGAACAGAGAGTCCCAACTTTGGGGTGGAAGGGAGAGGGCAGGGAAGAAGGTGCTGTCATAATCCTTAGTCAGGGATTGAAAAAATTGATAATAATGGAAAAGAGGTGGGGGCAGGGGAGGGGGTGAGGGATGGGGAGGGTATGGGGGGCTGGTACTAAAGAGATATTTGACTCAGGAATCTTTGAGAGTAGTGGGTGGTCTTGTCAATAGCTGCCCATCTCATGCTCTAAGAAGACGAAGTCCACATTTCAGAGCAGAGCTGTGCTAGACCCAGGACTGAGCTGGAACGCCACAGGCATCCTGCAGATATTTGAAAAGTGTGATATCTTTATCCCTGGAGGCCTGTGGAGGGCATGGTGGTCAAACATTTGAGCCATGATATAAGAGACTGGGCTGAATATGTTCTCACTAAAACAAAGGTTGTTTTAAGATACCTTTATCCCTTTTTTCTTACACAATCTCCTAGATTCGTTTGATAATCACATTCTTCTTCTGAAAGGGGAGTTACCATGAGAAATGCTCTGGCAATTAAGAGTTCTGTTGCTTCTATCTGGCTAGCTCCAGATTTTCTATATTCCTTTTTCATACACCATAATCCAATAGCTGCTGCTATTGGACGAGTGAAGGAGAGTCAACCTGTGCTACAACTTGGGCAGACAGATCAGGACCAAGCCTGCAACTGAAGGAAAGAGCTCAGGTTCTTGTGATTCTTTGACTTTTTATGACATTCGTTAATTTCTGAATCCTTTGACTTTAGATATTTAGTACTTCTAAGATTTTCCCTAGAACCAAATATAACAGTACATATGCTCAACCTTTTCTATAAGGGCCTATAAGAAAATTTAAATTAAAAGTCTGTCTTTGAAAATGTCATCAAAGAGAAATGCTTAAAATATTAAAGGATGCATTTCTCAGTTGTCTTTGCTAAGAAAACAGGGGGAACAACAGCTGTATCTAAATTTCATATTAAGTACTAGCCAATCTCCTTTTCCAGAGAAGGAATGAAGGTAGGTGAGGAAGGGGAAAGGAGGGAGGGAAGGAAATAAGGACTATTTTTAATATATAAAAACTATATATGGATATATACGTATGTCTATAACTATATGTCTATCTACTTCAATATTCTTTTCCTCTGTTTTTCTTTCCTTACCTAATTCTATAGTCATTAAAACATGGCCGGGGAAGGAGAAGGCAGAAGGAATTAAAGGATGCATATATCAGTTACAGACTGAATAATAAATAACAAAAAGAGGATTATAAGAATGTAAATTCCTAGGGATTCAGGATGCCATCAATTGTGCTTTTTGTTTGATTTGGTTTTGTTGAATGTTAAAGTCCTGGGCAAATGTAAGACATAATGGTGTAAGATGGTGATTTTCGGAATTACCCATAAAGCTCACATGGTAATGAAAATAAATCCATTTGTAGAGTACTTTATGGTTTACTGAGAACTGTCTTTACATATATGATCTCATATGATCCTACGACTTTCTGTGAGAGAGGCAGTGTATGTTGTATGCGCCTGTTTTACAGATGAGAAAACAAAAGCCCAGAGAGGTTAAATAATTTACTTTTTTGAAAACACATATTCTATGTGCTGATGAGAAGAATGTATATTCAGCAGTTTGTGGGTAGAATGTTCTGTAATTCCCTGTTAGGTCCATTTGTTCTAAAGTCCTGTTTAAGTCCAGTGTTTCTTTATTCATTTTCTGCTTTGATGTTCTGTCCAGTTCTGTCAGTGGAGTGTTGAAGTCCCTAGCAAAAAGATGCCACTGTTTATTTCTTTGCTTAGATCTAGAATAATTTGCTTTATGAAACTGGAAGCTCCTGTGTTAGCCATATATGTATTTAGGATTGTTTTATCTTTGTGTTGAATTGCTCCTTTCACCATTAATTATACAATGGTTAAAAAAGACCATCTTTGGTCTTTTCGTGTCCACTTCATTTAGTTCTGCTATGAGCTTTGTTATTTCTTTTCTTTCCTTATTTATTTATTTTTTTAATTTGACACAGGGCTTGCTCTGTTGCCCAGGATTGAGTGCAGTGGCATCATCTTAGCTCACTGCAGCCTCCAACTTACTCCTTAGTGAGAAGGAGCGGTCCCTGGATAACACTGGAGGACTGACCTGGCAGGCAAGGGGCGGGTGCACTGAGAACCTGTGCCACCACTGTTCTCCTGCATTGTCCTGATCCCCTGTGGTTGTCATAGTCTAAGCCAGTGCTGTTAGATATTTGT